TATTAAATATAAATATATATAAGAATAAAAATACAACCCTGCAAAAAAAGTGAAAAATACACAAGATTAAAACCTTGAGGTTTTCTCAGTTGCGAAATACTTTTGTAAAGTGGCCTAAAAAGGGAGAAACCTCAATTTAAAATAAACTTACAGCTTCCAAATTTCAAGGGGCAAGCATGTGCATCCATAGGAAAGTCTTCTAAATGCATTGGACATTCTGCTCTCACAGTCAATCTATAATGGATTAATGAGCAAAAGGACACATTTATTCTAGTTTCATAGAAATAGCAAATAGACTTCTATTAAGACACACAGAATAAGTATAGCATAATATCTGTTATGTGATTAATTAGCAGCTAGAACGGGACCTGAATTGTCTGGCTGGGGGTGCTGACAGGCATGGGTAGACACAGCAGTGCGACTGGCTCTGCCCCTCTACCGTGTTTCACTGTACAGCAAAGCCATACTCAGACTTCTAACTTGGTGTGAGGATTAAAATCTATTAGAAACTGAAATTACTTCCTTGCTGCCAACATTACATTGGCCCACTCTGGATGCTTAGACATTTGCTGAAATCATTTTGTTGCTATCAGCTTGAGTGCAAACACGTTTCTCAATAAAAGAGATTAAATAAACTCGAAACACTCACATGCCACGCATCAGCAAGGAATGAACAATAATACTTGAATACTTGGGAGAAGACTGCATTAAGGCACTTGCAAAGGTAAGCAAATAGAAATGGTTATGGTCAAAAAAAGAAACATGTGAACAATGTGCTGCCAAGATAGTATTCTTGTGGATTAAATCCCTAACAGCCAAGCATTTAGGAAGACAAGAAAAATTGACCTGGACTTGTATAACTACCAGCCAAGCAGATTCTACCCTAGCCTAGGCAGTCTTGAAAGATGTTGCAGAATAAATTGAACATATTTGACAGGCTCCCAAAAGCCTGGAGACTTTGTTTTCTCCAAATACTTGTACTGCTTTTAAAAACGTCTTTAAAATTGTTAAAAGAAAGCTCAATGTTCACCTACGTACTAAGCTATCCATCTTGACTTTGAGTCAACAGAATCACTTTATACCTTGTTTGATTCCATGGGAGACATAAATGGGGGATGTGTAGCTCTATAGAGACAACATACCATTTTTTTTCATTGTTTAATTTGCAGTCTTTTAATCCAGAATGTTTCCATGACTGTGTATCATCGTTATTTCAAAAGATTTAACTCCTCTGCTGACAACTGGATAGCTAAAGTTCAGTTATCCATGAAGAGAATAACATTTTTCCAGTAAGAGTGGTGCCAGCACAAAAATATTTTTTTCTCCTAACTTTCCAAATGCTTTAGTGAATTGTTTTTCTTGTTATGAATGGAATAAGAAATGTCTATTTTTAGACTGTCATGCTCTGTATTCCCAAGCACAAGAGATATGAAGAATGGGTAATCAATTCTGTGTGCATCTGCTAGTTCCTAGAATCCGCTTTCTATAGGATCCAAAGATTAAAGGCCCTTCTACACGATCTAGTAGTCTAGATTATATTAAACTTTCAGGCTTTATTACACTTTGCTGATGGAATCCTTGAAAGCAACTCCAAATTAAGGTCCTCTGCAAACTGATGGATTCCTAATACTATAGGTACCTTCTTAAAATCAAGCATTAAGACACATCCAGGGAGTGTAAAGGTAGCACAGCAGGAGGGGAAAAAATAAACGCTGCAAATGCCTCAGTTTGTCCATCATTCCATGGTCTGTTGTGAAAACAATTACTAAGCAGGAATCAAATTATGCTCAAAAAGGGACCTGTTCCCTGTCTGGAAAATATGATGCTTTAACAAGTTAAATAGTCAAACTAAATGAAGGATATAATATTTTAGGGCTCACCTCATTGTGTATAGCAATGTCCCATCCTCTGTAATTCGTAATAGTTTATTTGGCATCGTCATGTTATGAGCCACTGACTTCTTTCCATTGTGGAAAAAAGTATCCGGTGTCCAAATTTTGCTGGCCATTAAATTATTTAACCGGAGAACAGTCATAGGTCCTTTGAATTTTAATCTCTCGTCTTTCCAGCTTTGGCGGAAAAATACATCTATAGTGTATTCCTACATCAATTCAGAAAAAGAGGAAACACTTATGATGCCATATGTTGCAATATGAGAACTTGAAAAGTATATTCTTACCGTTCCCTAGAAGTAAGATGACTATTAATGAAATTAGTAATTATCAGAATGTTTATTCTCTATATTACTTACAATGTACCTGAAGCTGCTTATTAAACAGTTACAATATCATTACTGTGTTTAACAGAATAAATGTTAGGGAGAATAGTATATCAAAACTTAGACAAGAGTTTGAGATATAATACAGTGGAAACAAAATAATTCACCCTTTTCTCACTTTTCCTTCACTTTCCATAAAACTGTAATTTGTTGCCAGTATGCGTAGCACAGGAAGAATATGTCTCTCAGAAGAAAATAAGCCTGGTGAGACAGGGTCTTACTAGAGCCTTTTGTTCTAAGTGTCTCATTAGCATAAACATGTAGTCAACCTGCGAAATGTTCACTAAAATTATGTGGTCTGATTTATGAGATGTGCAATGGCTCATTGGGCCAAATCATTGGACTACAGACAGCACAAGCTGAGGACAGCTTTGGACCAAGAATTATAGTTCAGTTATACAAGGACTGGGCCAACAGGGAAGAGATGCAGTGGCTGACTCAGTGTACACGGGGAGAATCAAAATAATGAACACTCGCTACAAAATGAAAGAATTATTTGTTACAAAGCAACAGGAACAGAGTTAAGAGGGAGAGGGTGAAATTAGGGAAAATATGTTGAAGTATTATATATAAAATATAGATGTATGTGGGGTGAAAATGTGAAAAACTCCTGTGGATGCAGTAGAGTATAATATTTTCCCAGGGAAAAATTCCACTCCGACATGAACGTTTAGTATGGAATTATCCTGCCCCTTCCATCATTTATCGCTATGATATTGTGATAAATGTCAAAAGTAGCTATCCAGTCACTGTTCAAAATTACCCTGAATGATGATTTTTTGGCTGAGAAACAGAACCTTTGCTGAGATCTCCTACCAATGGAGATGGCAAATCAAGAAATAAAGGAAATTCCTGTGTGTGAAGGCACATAGAGCTGTAAGGAAAAGAGCTGCCCCAAGGAAGAATATTCTGGAATGAGTATGCAAAATCTCTGTGTAGCAGACTCCCTTAGACTTGCGATTTTTCTTTTAACAAATGGCAACACTCCATACAACAGAAGCAATTGTGAGCTGTTTATTGCTTGTGCAACTATCAGCAAGTAAGAATGATGATTCTTACTGGTGGTGTATTTTTCCCGGTTCTAGGGCATGAAATGCCTAAATAAATTTCTTGTGAATGTGGAAATGTAGTTTCATAGGGTGTCTTACTTTGGTTTGGTTTGTTGGGTTTGGGTTTTGGTGTTGGGTTTGCGTTTTGGGGTTTTTTTATTTACATGCCAGACCTGCGAACCACTTTGGTGCATACTTAACTGTATTTCCATTTTTTTAATCACGTGCTTAGTGAGCTGCTGAGGCCTGAATTTGTTCAGCTCCAGTGACAGCAGTTGTGCACTTATAGCCAACCACTTGCTTCAGAATTTTGCTGGGTCAGGGCCTTAGGTTGAACTGTGTGCAAAATCTTGTCCCAGGTGTGGAGCAGAGCAGGAGAGAAGGAGGTTTAAAATGCAGTAGATGGCATTAAAACATTGGATTTCCTCTATGTTTTACTAGCTCCAAAGAAAATTTCCTCCTACACACATGGGAAAGGTAAAAGACATACCCAGGTGACATCATTTCAGTGTGCATGTAAGCCATTCCCTTTTTATCTCTTTCAACTGCAAAGAAGGAGGTGAGTGGGAGGTGGTACAGGTTAAGAGAAGGGAGTCTGGTTCTTCACTTTACATAAACACAAGGTTCTTATGCTGGAAAAGAACAAGGAGTCTGAGATTTGGTAAGGGACCTGACAGCATAAGACAAAACTCAATTAAAAAGTAGCTGACAGGTCATGTCTGGCACAGACTGAATCTTTCTCTATCCCAGGCCATTGTACCATATAGGATGAATTAATTTTGGCTGAGATTTCTCAATTCCTTAGCTTTCACTACCCACTTTAACATATACAATAATTCTCCTCAAATGAATCCTAACAGACAGTTGATCTTTAAGATCAAGTCATCAGATACTCTGCTTAGAGCTTTCTTCTACAGGAGGGTGCCATAAAGAACAAAGGAACAGAAGGATTTTCTCCAAACCATGTACTATAGCAGTGGTCTACGTACAAACGTATGAGTGGGATGAAATTCGGAATAAATTCTCCACAGTGGAGACTCTTCATTCCTTAGTGTGCAGGTAAAGAAAGAAGATTCCTATCTGCACTTTGGCAGAAGTTGTATAGTATTGAATATTTATAACTTTTTGACTTAAATGTTCTCTAATTTACTCATCTGATATCTCTCCCCAGAGACTGTTTATTCACAGGGTAGAGCACACTGTAGTCTACATCAGACAAGGTGCTGTACAGGAAGGTAGTAAGATAGAAATTCATTCCTGAACAGCTTACAGTACAGAAGCAGTGGGAATGAAGGTTTACTAGGAAAAAAAAAATCTGTCTTTATGAAAAAAAGTTAATTTTAAAATACTTATTTCAGATAATATACATCAAAAATTTCACAAAAATGACAGTCATGTGAGAATAGCAAGTTATCTGTTGATTAGTTCAATACACCATCTGAGAGCATGCCTGAAAACCTGCAATGTTCTTCCAAAAAACGATGTTTTTATTTTAAAAAGTGCTTTTCTCCTGTTTAACTTTATTCACAAGTTTAAGAACAAGCCAAGACATTCTCTTTATAGAATAACAGGTTATGTCTATGCTTCTCTCAAAAGAGTGTATTGAGAGTGGGTAGGAACACCATGTACTCCTTGATATATCAACCTACTATCTATATAACTGCCTCATTGGATTCCTGCAAACAGATGGTCTAGGTATGCTGATGTCTCACTGTGGCTGTAGTTTCATAACATATGGCGTCGGCTGGAATAGCTCATTGCCAGTTCCCAGCTATCAGTCCTGGGCTCAGACGGCAGCCCATCGTTCCCTCAGTATGCCAATACAGCTGCTTGTGAGGCCTCCCTGTGACCAAATCCCACAATACAGTCTACACTTACTGTAAATCTGCTCACTGGAGCAAATTCGGGGTAGCCCTCAAATGATGGTGTCTACAACCAACCTGTAGTATGCATAGAGGACTTTGCACTAAATGTACATTGAAATTAATATCGACTTTATTCTGGTAAGCTCTTAATTTTATCTTTCTCTTTCTGTCTGTTTTCACACTTATTTCCTTAAGCAAAAGAGCTAGCGTGAGTAGGCTGCACACACATTACTTTTAGGGGAGGTGAGTAGGAGTTTTACACTAAATACTTTTCTGTAATTCCTCAGTTTTCAAGACATATGAACACCTGCCTGTGTGTTTCTTGGTCACACACTTTATTAAGAGACTGATGAATTCTTTCTCCTGTTTAACTAAGTGAAAATCAGGAGCCAATGTGGTATGTCTTTTTAATTATTTTTGAGATTTTTTTTTGTAGGTAGTGATTGCTTATACTATAGTAATTCAGCTATACTTAATTATAGCTGAAGTAATTTTTTTTTTTTCAAATACACCTATTCCTAATTCTGAAAGTAGATTATTTTTGCCTTCAGCTTTTAATTCTTCCTTGAAACCCAAATCCCATACAAATATCAGTTTGTCCTAGGAATGCCAAATTAGCTTTACCTTCTACTTAATAATTAAATCACCTCAAACTACAAAGTATAAGTAGATGCTGAAGTCCAAACATTATATAGTCCCAAGTAATTCAGCAGGCCTCTCAGTTACTCTAAACGTATGTCTACATGTAGGAAAGCGTCCGTGTCCATTTGTTTATTAGATTGCCATTAATTATTGGAGTTTTCTAGTAAATATGACTCAACAGAGCAAACAATAGCTTGGCCAGCTGACTTATAGAAAACAACTCTAATAAATATTAATACAAAGGATACATTCACCTGCATATATCGATCACTCTTTTTTTGTTCACCTCCCACAAACATCTATGTCCAGTCCAATATTTTAAATTACATTAATTTTCAGGAAATTAACAAGAGACCTGTCCCAAGAAGACAGGTCTCTACAAAACTAGGGCAACGTCAGCTTACTTACAAACTGCAGCTGCTACAGTTTTAATTCAAAGACTATTAAATTAAGTGTATATATATATATTAGCCACATCACTGTGTTTGAATTTTTCAGTTTGTCCAGTGGTGACTGGTTACCTATTTTGAGACAGAAATGGGAAAGCAAGATGAAGTGTTTTGCTGAACCAATTACCAGAACATAAACAGTGGATGTCAGTTGTTTCCACCAATCTTTAATCCAAGGAATTTCTCCTCTTTTAATGTATAATTTTGAGTAATAAGTAGATAGTGTAATTTCAAGGATTATCACAGAACAAAAAAGCAGAAGTCATTGAGTGAATTTTTTTTTTTAGTTCTTCTTCATGATATATATAGTACTTGGACAGTATTGTATATATGTGCTGAGGAGACAAGTCACCAGTCTAGCTACTTCCCTGGATTACCCTTCTATTGTAGGTCTTCTCAGCAGAATGACTGGTCAAAAAGTCTGTGCTGCCCAAGCTATTCTTTCTCATTAAATAGCATGGCATCAGTTCCAATTATAAATTTGACTGTAGTTTTATAAATGCTATTTTCCAAGCAATCAGGAAAATGGTGTCTTTGCGTAAAGCTCATTTAGGAAAATAAACTATCTTGTAAAAGTTACTTTCTCTGTTATTGCATCCCTTCACATTGTTTTGAGTAGTCAAAAACTTGTAATAACCTGGTGTTTAAGGCCTGTCTGTGGTTTTATTTCAAATTAAACAACTTAATTTTGTGGTAAGAAATGGAACTTGTTTCCTTTCCTGTGATAATTTTTTCTCTTTTGTTTTTTTTCATCCTTCTTTTGGTGAATGTTTTTAGCTAAATGTAGCCAGCTACAAGGTTGAACTGTTTTCTTTCCTTCATTTAAATTAATGAGGATGTTTCCAGCATACATCCTAACACAGGATCCAGCAGACACTATGTCCTGGTTTTGGCTGGGATAGAGTTAATTTTCTTCCTAGCAGCTGGCATAATGCTGTGTTTTGGATTTAGCATGAGAATAATGGTGATAACACACTGATGTTTTAGTTGTTGCTAAGCAGTGCTTACACTGGTCAAGGACTTTTCAACTTCTCACACCCTGCCAGTGAGAAGCTGGAAGGGCACATAGCCAGGACAGTTGACCCAAACTGGCCAAAGGCTATTCCATACCATATGACGTCATGCTCAGCATATAAGCTGGGGGGAGTTGCCCAGGGGGCAGAGATCCCTGCTCAGGGACTGGCTGGGCATCGGTCGGCAGATGGTGAGCACTTGCATCGTGCATCACTTGCTTTGTATATTGTTATTATTATTACTACTACTACTATTTTACTTTATCTTATTCCAATAATTAAACTGTTCTTATCTCAACCCACGAGTTTTCTCACTTCTACCCTTCCGATTCTCTCCCCCATCCCACCAGGCAGGGGGAGTGGGCAAGCGGCTGTGTGGTGCTTAGTTGCTGGCTGGGGTTAAACCACTACATACTAGTAGCTTTCCCTGTTGATAGCAACCTACTTGTGAAGACCTCATTCATATGCAAAACTTAACGTACCTTATCTGTATTTTTACACAGTTTTTAGTAACTCTTAAGACCAGGGCTCACAACATCTTCATTCAGTTTTCTGAACTTCTCCATCCCCTGCAGTTATCTAGCAATTTGATTTTAATATTAATTCCATAAAGAAGTGACACTAATTCTCTCATTAATCTTCTCTTCTCTTTCAGCAGCCAAGATCTAGGAAAGTCACTTCCCATTGATCAGTAGCTTTTAATATAAAAATACAGGTTAGACTGTACAGATGTCACACTGTAGGCATAAGTGTTAATTGCGTTTTAAGATGATGATCTTTCTCGGCAAATTGGATCAGTGATGTGCCAGCAAGGACCTGAGCAATCATTCTCAGAAGAATACAGATCCAAACCCTAATGCATTTCATAATATATTATGTAGCAAATATAAGGTCTGTTAAGACACATTATTAAAGTCACTGAGGCTGCTAATTTCAGGGCACTTAAATGCAGTCACAGCTGGCAGGAATGGTTGCACATAAAAGCTGACAGCATTTTGGAATCAAGGGTGTAAAAAAAGCCCAGCCTTAAAAGGAGTAAATAAGTTATTGCATAGATCTTTCATGCTCCAAATTAAAAAGACAAGAGAAAATAATGCTGTAGAAATATAGGCCATCACTTACCATATCATGGTCTGAAACAGGCCCAAAACTGGTGACGAAGATGTCAGTCTTCACTTCAGTTACACGCTCTGATGAAGCAAGAAATTAAGACAGTGAGTGTCTATCAACAGTCTTCATTAGATCTAACCACTATGAATTCTCACAATAAATAGAAAAATTATTGGCTTTGATTAGCTATTCTAAAACTGGTCTACAATACGGTCCTAATAGTTTATTGCTTCTAGATGTAATTTCACAGTCAATATTATCAGCAACAATTTTTTTTATTACAATGTTTCCACAGAACTTTTTGAGATATGGCTTGTGATGCCACAGTACAGCAGCCATAGTTCCACTGCTGTGTAAATCTTTTCACTCTTTGACTAATAAATCTTCTTGTCTGACAATATAAACAGTGCTGAATATTTTACACAGCACTCAAAAGTCTCATTGGGTACTCAGTGTTTCTGGGCAAGCTGAATGAAGGTCTCTAATAATTAACCCTGGGCTTATGAATTATATATTTTGTATTGAGACACAGGAACACAGAAGAAAAAGAGAGAAAGAGAGAGAATACATTACGGTGTATAAAAACATATATTTTATTGGCATGAGTTAGAAATGGCTGCATTACCCTGAACTGCAATAAACAAAAAGGAGTTAAAACTTTTCCAAATAAGTGTCAGCTAAACTTCTCTACTACAATTTTTGACTTATGTATAAATGTTATAGTTTGTAAATGTTTTAGATTTCTTTTTAAATTGATACGGGCACTAACATTAGATTTCCCTTGAACTACCAAATTTGTTTTATAGGCCTCAATGATAGATTAGTATAAATAATAATTCAGAAATCTATAACTTGTCCGTAACACAGATTATATGTATATGCTATAGCATAAAGCTAGACTTCTCTGTGATTTCAAGGATGTACGTTTGCTCCATAGCACTATGCCCTTGGCCACTTCAGAAGACTCGAATGATTTTAGTGGTCACAAATGCTGAGTCTGAGACACCTAAAATGGTGCTGATCTCCAGAAAGAGCCAAACATCCAGCTTCTGCAGATCTAATGTTAAAAGTCACTTTGAGAAATGCACAAGCTTAACCTCCCCCCTTCCTCTCCTCCCGCTCTACACACACACACAGAGTCACTTCTGAACATATTGGTATTTTCTAGGCCACACATCACAAAATATTCACCCAGGACGGCATATATCAAAATAACTCTGTTGATATAAGTATAGCTGCAGGGAGTAACACCACCTGGAGGCATAAATCCAAACAGTCTTGAGTGGAGCTAACCCCATCAGCTTTCTGAATTTACGGTGATGTAAGTCTGAATACATTTACTATAGTGCTACACAAGCCAGCCTGGGGTTTTTGGTAGAAATTTCAAATGTGGAAGGAGTGATACATTTCTCAATTTTCAAACAAGAAATCATTTGAGAAATTTGGAATGTTAAAATTAATCCTAAAGAAAAGAGGCTAACAGAAAAGTACATGTATAGTAAGCAAAAGTCATGCAGCATGCAAAAATTTTCATAAGACTAAGGAAAGTATATATGTAGCTAACTGTATAATGTTATTTAAATATTGTAAAAGAATTGAATTAAAAAACTAATTTAATACAACCCTCTGATTTCAAAAGTCTTTGGACTGTTTAAATATAATTTGTTCCATCTGAGGTGAAAGTTCTGACAGAAGTGAAATAAGGAATCAAGGTTAAGCAGCCAGTAACAATATACATTTCTGTATCTGATGCAAAAGTTATAATGAGAATCAGTGGTCTACAACGCACATATAGGTTTTTCACTTTCATTCAAAAAAGTCTACAACTTCTAAATAGATATAAATGTAAGCAGTTTAATATGTTTAACATATATACAGTAAAATATCTCCTTTTGTGAGAAAGCAATAATCAAGATGTAATATTAGATCTGATTCTACTGTCATTCTAGTAATGCACTGAATGACACGTGTATTCCATTAGCAAGTTAATGCAAAATTTAGGTGGTAGCAAAAGTAATCTCCAGGACTCATTAAAAAAGTTAAAGGATTAAATTGCCAATGTATTATTCATAATCACAGAATGAAAAATACTATGATGTGGCTGAATGGCCTAGAAATGTTCTTTATATATGTGACTGAGACGTGTACAAACTACAGTGGCTGTTGACAAAAGCACTGGATAGGTGAAATTTCCTCCTTGGCTGTCCAGTGAAATCAATGTGTGACCTTAAAATTCTTTACAAGCTTTTCAACTGACTTAAAGAAATTTAAGTATTCTCTTGAATTCTAAGCGGCTCTGGACTTAAAGAAGTTCACAGTGAGAATTTAACCTTCTATTACTGGAAGAAGCATATGGTTGTCCAGAAATTACTTGGCTTGGAAAAACAGTATTCTCTCCTTCAGCCCATCACTTTCACAGAACTTTAAGTTCAAGAGGCTGTGATCTTGTATGAAACAGCTGGCAGAAAAAGAAGGTGGAGATTTCACAAGGTCCAGTAAAACACTGCTGAATGTATTCTTTAAGTTCCAGCTACTGAATCACCTTTTCTTAAGACCGAGAAACTAATATCATGATGAAACCTGTTAGCCTTTTACATATTGAAAGGCGAAACTCAAATGACTCTTTTAAAGATCTTTCATCCTGATTCCTCATCTCTCATCATGGCTTTTCCATTGAGGCACTTCCACTGGTGTCATTATGAGATAGAAGATGCTAGAAGCTGTTCAGGCACAATGCATTCATTCCTTAATGGTGTAAACTCAGAGTCCCAGCTCTGAGTGAGCCTCTATTTAATATAATATAGCTAACTGACTTACCTTGCACAAACACAGAATATGCTTTTTGAATCAGCAGCATATCATACAGTGGTATGCTGAATTCTAGTTTTGGGAGACATACGGTCATAGTAGAGAGGTTGAGGCTTAAGGAAATTACTTTGAGGACACAAAATGGAAACTAAAGGCTTTGGCAGAAAGATGGAAGATTTCCAAGGGAGTGTAAAATTAGCGATGCCTTACATTTCTATATAATATTGAAGATAATTTAAGTGGCACATAAGTCATAATAGAAAATTCAGAATGTAAACTCACAAGAGATTGTGTTCTCTTCATACTGATTACACTTCTGCAGAGCATCTAATACCAGGTCTCTTCAAATCCAGATAAAACCACTGTACACGCCACCAAATTATTTCTTTTTTCTTTGATATGTACATTATTTTCAAGACCAATGAAAAAGTGTGTATGAACACACAGAAAAAGAATAGCCCCTCCAAAGCCATATGGAAGTTTTGAAATTTTTATTTATTGTTTTACTAATTAGATGATTCAACTGTGCTCTGTTAAGAGCTTCAGACGTTGTGAGTCACTCCTGCACAGGACGTGTTTACTCATACAGTTGGGATATATATTTAGAATCAAGGTTAACCATGTTCAGTTTGCAGCTTGATTACCATGGGAAGGCTTAAACTGTGCTTCAAATGGTCAGAATGCATTTTTCAGGAACCTCAAATCCTGAGCTGTATTCAAAACCTTCACAATATCCCTAAGAACTAGAGAAAATTCTAGGTCATTGAACAAAACAAGGTCAGAGCAGGAGCTGACCGGACTGCTGAGGATAAATCCGTCAGTTGTAAAGACATGTTAACCATGTCTCTTGACTATAACATCTACCTCATGAACCAGGACTAAGTAATATAGGGACATCTGTAGAACATGTAACAATTCCAGTAAAAAAACCCAGGGAAAATATTAATGACTTAACAGTTTTACTATAAGGCAACCATAGGGTCCAAGTAGTTACTGATCAGCAAAATAGCAACTGAGTACCACACCTAGACACTCTGGAACACAGCCTCAGGCAACTGATCCACATATAGCTATGAAAGCACTAGTCAATGTGAACTACTGTAATTTTACTGTTTACAACTACTGCGTTTTGCTAATGTTGCTAGACTAATGTAAACTCTCAAAATTAATAACAATAAATATTTTGATTTAAACTCCCAGGGAGCTCATTATTGCTAGAATTGTGATTGGATTACAAACCAAGAACAAAATAAGAAATACAGATTTATTTAAACAGCAGGAAATATGCCTGTTTATCATAGGAAACTATACGTTAACTATTTCCTTTTCTGACCTGCTGCTATTTGAGCACAAAACTTATTTAAATTGCATATTTTGGTGGCTTAAATTAATTCCAACTTTTTTGGTAACGCATTTGTTCCTCCTGCATGTCTTGTGTAAGCGCATGCTACAATTATTAAAATAGACAAGACTTTTCCTATGGTTTTGAATGAAAGGAATTTAAATGTCTGTATAGCATACACTATTATTACTAAAAAAAGTCATGTAGATTAATCACCCTGGCTGCATCCTATGAAGTATTTTGATTGAAGAACCAAACCAAATACATTCATAAGAATTTTGTGCTGCTGCTTTTGTAAAAGTAGAGAACAGTGAGCTGTCCTGTGATTACCCAGCTATAGTCTGTACTGCTATGAAGGGTTTACTGAGAGCTGCACAGTGTCATGGCAGCTCTCCCCATGCCAATTAACAGCTCAAATCTGCTCATATCCTCCCTACCTCCCTACTGTTGTATTAAATCAATTTTCCTAGGGTCTTCTATGGCTTTTTACAATTGCCTTTACATCAATGTGGTGCCTACAGAGTGGAAAAAAGACCAAAATCAGCCCTTTCAGTTTTTACAGAGTTAAGTATAGCATCTAGTCCTTCTTCACTTACAGAATTATGTGTAGGGGTCCAGTACAGAACCCTCTTTTCATTTAGAGTGGAAACATTTAGGTTTAACTAATTTTTTATTACACATACAGATCAAACCCATATTTTCCCTAAACTTTAAGTTAGCTCAGACATGAGTTCAAATCCAACAATTTCCATTGGGACCTCAATCACCAAGAGGTAAGTTTATCATATATTTATAGATAACGTTCTCATAAAACTGAATTTTAAAACCTAATTAACATAATACTGTCAGGTTCATTTTCCATCACTTTAAATATAAGCACTCTGTGGAAGTAATGAATTGCCTGAGATGGACCGACGTTCCACTTAAGGA